AAACGATTATCGATGCATCTTATTTTATGTTTTATTCTATACAGGATTTCTATCTTCCTACTGTCTGAGGACTTGGTAATGTTAAAGCAAAGTATTTGTAATGATCCATAATGTAAATGCCTTATGGATCATTATAAATACTTTGCTTTAAATATCTAAAATATCTTTTATTAATAAATCAAATGGAAGTGATGTGGCAAGTGAACTAGAAGGCTCTCATTCAGAAATGAACCCGCTTCTCTTTCGAATTTTCCCGTTCCACCTTAAATGGTGCAGCAGTTACATTCGGCGCCTAAGGCAGAATTTAAGGTAGAACGGGAAAATTAGAACGAGAAGCGAATGAGAAGCGACTTCAGCCTCGTAAAACAGCCGGACGCTGAGACATTTTACAAGAAACTCTTCTTGTTTTGAAGAAAGGTTTTCTGGCGGAGATGGAGGAAAGCAGCTGTAGCTAAAGTTTTCGTTTATATTGTTTAGCCTAAACTAGGACATTAACACATACTGACACATACTGGACATTTAAATGTTGCGGCTCCCAAGGTGGTTTAATTTTTGTTGAAAGGACAAAATGTCTCTTCTTATCATTTGTGTTGTGACTCCTGATCTAACCTGGCTTTAATGCAGAGGGAGCCGGTCGGATTTCTCACTCATCCAGTACTGTTTTTGTTGTGTGCCGCCACAGACTGTCCGGGCGCTGCACTTACCCACTTCCAAGTTCCGCCTTTTGCGTTCCGTCAACATTGCGGTATAAATTAAATATTTAGAAAATCGATTTTTGACATTTATGAATCGATTCAGAATCGTTCACGTCCGCATCACGATGCATCTAAGGATCGAGTTTTTCACGCACCCCTAATATATATATATATATATATATATATATACACACGTGTGTGTACTGCTGTCAGAAGAACCTCGTATCTCCATTTTTGTCATTTTTGAGTTTTTGACATAATTTGAAAGTACCTGTTGTCCTTTACATTGTTTGTAAATTTCATGATGAATGGACCAAAAAAAACGGCCTAAAATGACTTGGAAAAAAGTCTCGTTCCATTGACTTACAGTATGTTTTTTCCTTTTCCTGTAAAGTTACCATTTTGTAGATACCAGGTTTTCTTCCGACAACAATATAGAAGCATGGATGAAGTTCAGTTCAGTGACAGCTAGAATGTATTTCTCTGAGAAGTGTTAATGTCTGTTTGAATGGGTTGCGATCTACCAACATGCACTGTGTGATTGACTGGTCGATCGTGATCGCCGTATAGGACATTCCTGCACTTGAGTATTGCAATATTATGTTTTATTATACTGTATCGATTCTCAGAAACACAGTATCAATTTTTAATTTATGGTTTACATGCAGAGATTTGTGGCAGACAGTGGTTCATTTTTTGTTGTGTTTAAAGTCCCGACTGCTAGACAGCAGTGTGTAAACCGTTAGACTTTTTCTTCTACTCAGATTTTATGCATGTAGTGGTGTGTTTTTATGATAGTTTACTAAAATTAGATTTTAAAAATCACAGTATATCGCCTTGCATACAGTATCGCAATATATAGAATCGCAGCCCCTGTATCATGATGCGTATCATATTGCCAGTTCTTGCCAACACACAGCTTACACGAGTCCAGTGTTAGCGGTCAGCTGTTTGAGCTTATTAGCTGATCTTAGCTATTTTTGAAGGATAAAACGTTTTGGAATGTGATTCTCTGAGACATGTTTATTTAATGCGATCCTCTGAGAGATGTTTATTTAATGCGATCCTCTGACAGATGTTTATTTTTGTTCAAAATCAGAATGCACGTGCGTTCCCACCAGCAGGGAGCTGACCCAGGCTTTGGTTGGGAGCAGACCGAGACCCTCAAATTTACACACCTGTCAAGACGAGTTCAGTAGGTCCACACCAAACAAGGTGGCTGTGAGAGCGGCTTTAGTTCCATTAAGCTTGCGTTTTGCAGGCGGTTAACAGCCAGCTTTGCATTTTTGAGACTTGAATGAGCTTGCAGTGTGGCTGTGGGTTCACCTTTGACCTGTATGACCCTGTTTGGACCTCGTGAGTAACAGTTTTTCCCAGCTGTTTGATGGTCGTGGCCACAGCAGTAACAGACATTTGCAAACTTCTTAAGTTTAATGTTCCTAAAGTAATTCAACAGACAGTTGTTTTATTTTGTTTTTTTTTTGTTATTACATATACATTCATGAATGCAGTAAAGGGCCCTTATCATGGAAAACCAGATTTTCCTTACTTTCCTTTTTTGGAATTAAATTAATTACATTTTCCAAACGTACTGTTCACTCAGTCCATTCAGTCCATTTATAGAAACTGAGCTTCAAAAACAGCCTGTTTCGCTTTAGTTGTTTAGTGATGTCACGAAAACCAAGTGATTTTCATTTATCAGTGTGTTACAGCCTACAGCAGTTTGGCTCCGCCCACTCACACTGAAGTTATAAGGAGTGTTTCAGCCTGGACTTCTTTTTTTAATGGGGCACAATACAGGGCAGCCAATCAGAGCAGAGCTCAGTTGCATATATCAGTCGTAAAGGCACAGTAAAGTAAGCAGACTGTTTAGTTCTAAGAGACGGTTGTAAAGTTGTAAACTGGTCATGTTAAAGTGAATCAAGGATGCCCAGATATTATGAATGGACCTCAGTGTGGAAAAAAAAGATGTAAGATATGGACATTGTAAACATGTTTAGCAATAATTTATGCCAAAAGGTAATTAACTATCATGCAGGTAATCTCAGGAAATGTGTAAGACGTACATTTTTTTTCTGCAGAATTTAGACTCAGAGGCCAATAGAAAGTAGTGCTTTGTAATCTCTACGCCTAATAAGTTAACTGAAGGAAGTCGCCCTTACGGCTGTGTTCCTATTTGCTCTTCCTTCTTGGTTTTAATCTGCATCCTCCTGAGAGTTTTGCTTTTAGCTGTTTCCGCACTCACATTTACCGGAATGAACACCGAGTGAGTTACGGTTCAGAGTGTTCAAGTTTCTCAAAGTCAAAGCCAATAAATCTCAGTATGTGCCACGTACACTAGGCAAGGCGACACACTCTCATCATGGTCTAGTGCGGTACTTTTTGGTTTGGTATCGTTTGGTTGTTTGGCAGTATTTTGTATGGTTTGTTCATTGATTACTATTATTATAAGTGACCCTTATTAGTCCCACAACGGGGAAATTTCACCTCCACATTTTTACCCATCTGTGCAGTTAAACACCACATACATACTAGTGAACACACACACTAGGGGGCAGTGAGCACACTTGCCTGGAGCGGTGGGCAGCCCTATCCACAGCGTCCGGGGAGCAGTTAGGGGTTAGGTGCCTTCTGGTCTCAAGGCTGGTTCCCTAACCTCCAGCCCACGACTGCCCCCATTCTTGGTATAGTTTGCGTTCTGATATGTTTTGGTAGTTTTTGGTATAATTTGGTAGTTTTTTTTTGTATGATTTGGTAATTCTTGGTATGTCATGATTGTTTTGATATGTCATGGTAGTTTTTGGTATGGTTTGGTCATTCTTGGTATGTCATAGTAGTTTTTGTATGATTTGGTCGTTTTTTGGTATAATTTGGTTGTTCTTGGTATGTCATGGTAGTTTTGATATGTCATGGTAGTTTTGATATGTCATGGTAGTTTTTGGTATGATTTGGTAGTTTCGAAATGTCAATATTGTTTTGATATGTCATGGTAGTTTTTGGTATGGTTTGGTCATTCTTGGTATGTCATGGTAGTTTTGATATGTTATGGTAGTTTTAAGATGTCATGGTAGTTTTTGGTAGGATTTGGTAGTTTTCGGTATGTCATGATAGTTTTTGGCGTGAATTGGTAGTTTCGAAATGTCATGATTTGATATGTCATGGTAGTTTTTGGTATGGTTTGGTCATTCTTGGTATTTCATGGTAGTTCTTGGTATCTCATAGTAGTTTTTGGTATGATTTGGTCGTTTTTTGGTTTAATTTGGTTGTTCTTGGTATGTCATGGTAGTTTTGAAATGTCATGGTAGTTTTTGGTATGATTTGGTAGTTTTGGGTATGTCATAGTAGTTTTTGGTATGAATTGGTAGTTTTTGGTATGTCATGGTAGTTTCGAAATGTCAATATTGTTTTGATATGTCATGGTAGTTTTTGGTATGGTTTGGTCATTCTTGGTATGTCATGGTAGTTCTTGGTATCTCGTGGTAGTTCTTGGTATCTCATGGTAGTTTTTGGTATGATTTGGTAGTTTTTGATATGCTTTATGGTAGTTTATGGTATGATTTGGTAGTTTTTGATGTGTTTTATGGTAGTTTCTGGTATGGTTTGGTAGGTCCTGGTATGGTTGGGTAGTCTTTGGTATGGATTGGCTTTTGTGTTTAATTACTGATGTAATCACAGTGTAAAAGTCTTTTAAGCCTCCAGTCGTGTTTTGTAAGGGAAAGCGTTTTGCGGGTGATGAGCTGCTGCACAGCTTTTTTAGTTGCACAAGTCTGAGCAGAATGTTCTACAGCCCGGCAGTGTATCAGGGCTGATTCAGGACATGGACTAACAGGGACACAAAGTTTAGTTTCACTCTGTTTTTTCGCTGCTTGCCACCATAGTAGTGTACAAAGTAGTGGGTTTCGTGGAGCATGATGATTGGTTGGTGGGTCTTCGCCCCACTAAGCGATGTCCTGGCACCAGGCCTGCGTGGGCTAATCATGTGCATCACAGCATCACTGGCAAACTGACTTAATTGTGAAGTATTTTTTGAAAAATCCCAGCTTCCTTCTGCTCCGTAGATATGTGCACATGGCTGGTCAACATGTTTGTGCTGTAGGTTGCAGGACTTTTCTGTATGGAGTCATTGTCCATCCAAACCATCACATGATGGCCTCGTCTGAAAGGTGTGATTTATGATTGATGACCATATTCTGTCACGTCCGGTCGTGATGGTGAAAGAGGAAGGAGAGGAGTCTTCAGGCAGAAGAGGAAATAATGCCTCATTGGTGTTCCCTCTCTGAAGTAGAGCTCTCTCTTGTGTTACAGATGAGATGACGGCGGCTTCCTGTGGGCAGAGGAAGTGGTGTGTCTGTAGGACGGTAGCGGATCTACACACCAGCGCAGAAGCTCTCAGTTAGCTGAACCGTCCAGCCTCGTCTCCGTTCTCCTGCAGTTCACGATGGCTTTCTGCGGGCTGCTCTCCGTCTGTTTATCCCTCATAATCATCATCGGCGGCTGCCATGGCAACACCATCCCCCGCATCACCTTTCTTCTCGGTAAGTTTGTTTCTGTCCTTCAGTTTTTACACGACTGATCAAGAATTCGGAGTCATATTAATAATTGTGTCATGTTAATCGTTCATCATTGATAATAGATAAACAGTAGTAACTCAGACAGTCTTGGCTAAAGGTTCTATGACTTGTAACCATAACAGAACCTTTTTTGCTGCTGTATAGAACCATTTTTAAAAGTCTCTTTAAAGAAGCGAACACAACAAGTGCTGCTTCATGGAGAAGAACGTTTTAGTCATGCAGAGAACCATTTAAGCTTTCAAATGGTTACTGGAGTTGCCATGATTCTACGTATGACTTCTGTTTTCATTATTTTTATTAGTAGCAGTATTAGTAATAATAATAATAATAATAATTATTATTATTATTATTATTATTATTAATAAAAAAATAATAGTAGTAATGATCATAGTTTTTGTCAAGGTTTGTGTCTCAAGGTTTGATTATTGTTCTTAAAATATCATGGCATTCTGGATATTAATTTTATTTGAACATCATTCTAAATATTAACTTCATTAGAACTTTATGCTGAATATGAATTTTATTAGAACTTCATTCTGGCTATTAATTTTATTAGAACTTTACTCTGGATATTAATTTTATTAGATCTTCATTCTAGATATTAATTTTATTAGATCTCCATTCTAGATATTAATTTTCTTAGATCTCCATTCTAGATATTAATTTTATTAGAACTTTACTCTGGATATTAATTTTCTTAGATCTTCATTCTAGATATTAATTTTATTAGAATTCAATGTTGAGTATTAATATCACTAGAGCTTTATTCTAGATGTTAATTATACTAGAACTTCATTCTGAATATTAACTTTATTAGAACTTTATTCTGAGTATTAATATTACTAGAACTTCATTTTAGATATTAATTTTATTAGAAACTCATTCCGAATATTATTTTTTATTAGAAATTAAGAAATCATTTTTACTGTTCTGCTTCCTCAGTCCCTACTGCTGTAATTTATTTTGTCCTGCTTACTGTTTAAACCCTGTGAAGTAGCACAAGAATTGTGTAGTAGTATAATTTCATACGTGTATTTACAGCCACAGTGGTGTGTTATGATTACTGATATTTCAGTTTTAAGAGTACGCTCTTAAAGATGGTTCATCTCAGGTTCTTTAGTAAAGACAGTGAACAATCATAGAACCTTTTGCATGTTTAAATGTTTTTTGCATGGTGAACTGCAGATTGATGGAGATTGTGTATGTGGTTCTGTATAGCACATTTTTGAAAATGGTTCTATATAGCACCAAAAAGCGTTCTGCTGCTGTTAACCTTGACATCGTAACAATGGCAGAACCCTTTTTGGTGCTATATAGAACAATATACAGCACATTCTCCATCAGTCTGAAGAACCGTTTCACCATGCAAAGAACCATTTAAGCATGCAGATTGTTTTTGAGTGTTCATGGTTCTATATAGAACCACTGTTTTTACTGAAGAAGCCTTGAAGAACCATCTTAGAGCATAGTGCATGTCTCAGTAAGAGTAAACGGCCCAGATGTCAGTTCTGAAGTACTGTTCTGTTTTTTATGGTTTAGGCTGGTTGTAAGATTTTCTTTCTGAATCTGAGCAGATGGTGCAGATATCTGGTCACAGACTCGTCTGTGGAGTCACTTTCTGATGAATGCTGTGATAATCAGGATTAAACTCATATATCCAATGGGGATCATTGATTCCATTCATGATGAGTTCAGTTTGATTCTAGCTGTTCACATTCCCGGAAGTGCCTAATTCATTAATGTCTTCATTTTCAGCCATGTGATGTTAGTATAGTGCACTTCGTAACATGACCAGGACTCATTTAGCTGAGAACTGTTGTGTTCAGCATCATAACTGATTAAAATCATAACAGATTAAAATCTGAGCACAAACAGTCTGACGTTTTAGCTCTGTCCTCCTCCGTGTAATGCCGTAAACAGGGACTGTGACGTCTCCTAAGCACCTTATGGTGTATACATCTCAAAACACCTTTCCTTACATAAATTAACATTAATTATTATTGCCCATGTGGTTGGTGAAGCACAGAGAACCTGTTGATGTGATTGTTTTTCCTCTGGTTTTATCTTAAGCTCATTTCATTTAATAGTCTATTTAGGGGGTCTTAACTTTATGTAGTAGTTATTTATTTACAGTGATGGTTGATGCTTTGTATCTTGGTATTATATCATTCCTTAATCCGTAGATATTCATAATAGATTAGTGTTGGTGCCTTCTTACACAACACTGAAGTTGGCTTCCTATTTGCCAGGTTCTTGTTCAAATTTTCCGGTTCCACCTTAAATGGTGCATCAGCCAGGCACCACTTTCTGATGCTTGAAGATGCACCATTTAAGGTGGAACGGGAAAACTTGAACAAGAAGCTGGCAAATAGGATTTAGCTTCGTCCTTCTTACTGTGTTTTAGGGGGCTTATTTTATTTTATGTGTATTAAGATTAGAAGTCATTCACACATTGATGGATTTGCTGATGTGTCTGATTGTGTTTCTCGCGCTAAACTCGGTTTTTAACGTCAGGATCAGACTGAATACTTTCCTGCTGGTCCGGACGGCTAATTATCACGATCAGTTATTAAAGTAATAAAAGCTGCCGAGAGCAGATCCGTGCAGCCTGGATTAATCTGAGTCTGAGGATTATAACGAAATAAACTTGGTGAAAATCAGCTGAGTAATAACGAAGTTGTGGCCGATTTAATTGTGAGACTCATCGTCTCTCAACAGACAACGCGGCGTCTAGGTATGTATATCTATGTGCATAACGCCCTGATAGTACTTAAAACAAAAATAATATATAAAAAGATATATTTAAAAAAAATATATACATTCATAAACACCAGTATTAGACTGTTCTCCATGTACAGTTTTGTAACAGTAATATGAGTTATGAAATAAAAGCTCTGATATGTACAGTTGTACACATTTACATATATGCAATAAGTGAGTCTGAGGTAGATAAATGAGAAGCGGGTTATACATATATATATATATATATATATATATATATATATATATATAGCTATAGTAGAAGATGTACAAGATGTCAATCTGTATGCTTGTATAGATTTGCTAGATTAAGTTAAAGTAAGATTAAATTATGTCAAAAACAAAGACAGTAATGTTGATGCAAGATTTTGTTCTGACAGCAACAACATGAATGATGATTTAAATCAAATGTATAAAAAAATAGGGGTCACAAAACTCAAGGTCTGGACCGTATCACGGTTTTTAAGTCACGGATCGGATCGTTTTTCGAAGCAGCTTAAAACACTTAAAGCAAGGAACTTTTGTCTGTTTTGTTAAATGAAAACATTTCAGATGTCCAGTGTTTTAAATACAAGTCAGTACTCAGTTGTTAAAGTGCAGTATGAGGCGTGACGATGCCTTCTTCCTTCAAACAATAGTGAATGAAAAAGCTGTCTTTGTCCACATTATCAAAACAAGAAGCAAAACAAAGCTCACGCGAGCTTGGATCTTCGAAGCTTTCTGAAAAAGAGGATGTCTGGAGAGAGAGTAGACCTCTTTCCAGTCACTGTGTGCCCTGCTGTGGAGAACACCCTCTCACTAGAAACTAAAGTGTGAGGTAGCGAATTGCCATCATGACAGCGTGAGGGTCTTTACACTCGTTGCTTTCCACCATGCCTGTAAAGTCAGCGTTAAGTTAAGCTGGTATTTCAGTTCCCACACACACATCCTGATACATTACCGGCACACGTTTACAGCTAATGCCAAGGCTTTGTGTCAAACTTGGAGCCTTTAAACTCCTTAAACTTACCAGGATGCATCACATCTGCCACAAAAGTCCCTTAAACAGGCTGTGACATCCTCAGTATGAACGGCCAACTGCTCCTTCGCTTCTCGGCCATGTGTAAAAAACACTCCCAACAGTTCTGCTTTACCAGCAGTGCTGCATCACTTTTATTTAGTAGCAATGCACACACACACGAACGAGGGGCAGATTTGGCTGCAGTTTGTCCTAGAATTATGTTCAGAATACACTCCCATAACGTTTAACTTTTCACGAGTGTTGAATTTCTTTTATTCGAATGATTTTTGTACATAATTCTGTAGCACAAGGCTTGAGACAAGCTGCAAGGTACGCTGCCACCTGGCAACAGCCCAGCAGCATTAGCAATGAACGTGTACAGGACTGTAAAATACTGCGAGTCTTAAAGACAAATGGTTCTTCCTTTTACTTCTACATGCTGATGAGGACCTGAATGATGTGCTATACATCACTAGCTGTGTTTACATGCAAAGATTTTTGCAAATCTAATTGAATAAATTCCAGTTATAGATTAAGACTGAGGTGTTTATTCTCACTCTACTCAACAATCTGATGAAAATCTCTGTTTACATGCTCACTACAAGTAATCCGATCCAAAATTACACGCATGCGTAGAGAACCGCTTAGTGTAGATGTTACCATGACAACCAGCATCACGTGAGTCCAGTCAGAGTGAGATGAGCAGCAGTGAGCAGCGCTTGTGTTTTTAATTACTTTAAAATGATGTCAGACTCAGGAAAACGTCCTTCACATGTCCTTATTAAAGAAGGCCGAGAGGAAGACGTCGTGTTCTGAGACACATAAGCTGGACGTCCGTCCCACCGCCGTCTTTTAAAGATCAGAGCAGAAACTTCGTCTCCTCTGCAGACCAGTTTCTGCTCCGCCATGTTGAACGGTATAAACTTTCGCCATGACGTGACGAACATGATCAGAACGGACTTAAACTTTCTGATAGGGAATGTAATCAGATACAGGCGTTTACACAGATATTATTCTTCTATTTAACAGATTATTTACAGGATTATCCACCTCGTTCAGTTGGACAGAAATTGTAGTCCGAATGGCCTCAACAGGTGTGTTCTATTCCGACTGAGCTGTTTGCCGGATTATTAATGGATTATCAGGCTGCATGTAAACGTGGCTGATGTTCATGATCCTGCTAAAATCTCATGTAGAAAGTCAA